TAGGAGACAGCTTTGATGATAGAAGAAAGGGCGGGCTGGGGAGTGCAGCAACACGAAACAGGTCAGATCAGCGGCTGTGAAACAGTGAGAAAAAGCTTGTTAGTCAGAAACATCACTTCAGGCTCACTCGCATCTTGTTAGTGCAGCCGTGTAAATGAGGATGATTGACAGACAGAACAGCTGGGAGGCCTTTTTAATTCCTGTTATTGGCCGAGAAGAATCATTTTCCTACGGCCACAATGATCTAACACAGCTCAGTCTCCCAAAATGCACATAGCTACACACACACAGCTGCACACTGAGTACACTGGTGTACAAACAATAATGTCATGACAACACTGCATACAAACATTGGAACCACACCGCACCATTCTCTGTCATTCAATTTAACTGCAAAATAAAACTTTGAGTCCTGGGTGGGCTCGTGTGGCAGTACATTTTCCATATACATTTCCTTAAGTATTCAGGTGCTGTAAATGATCGTCACCGCCGTTAGATGTCACAATAAACCAACAACATCTAGGACCAAAACAGACGCTTTGTTTCTCGGCCAACCAGCTCCGTTTGACACCCCCCCCCCCCCATAACAATTCCCCCTTGACACCACAAGGGGCTGTGAAGCTCAGTGAAAGTGTCACTAAACACACAACATGAAGCTCAACTGAAAGTAAAGTTTAAAGTTTTCCTCTGAACACGAGAACCAACAACAAACAGTCCAGATACAACCGTATCTGTGCTCCACAGCGATGCTAACAGTTAGCCAGCTAGCGATAGCAACATTAGCCCGAACACTAATATCTGTAACAGCAGGTTAGCCGACGTTAGCATGCTACTGTAGCCGTCACTAATGAAAATAGACATGGAACATTATGAACCATCAAGTTACTTACAAATTAAGGAGAAGAACAGTCAGTTGAGTCCAGCTGGAGCCTTCAGCAGCTCGTTGGGTTCTCCATCTTGGTAAATCCAAATCTGTATCGGCTCCATGGTCGGACTGGGACAGAAAATCCGCCTCGGACTTCAGGGACCGAGCACATGAACGACACTGACAGCAGGTGAAGACACTGACGGAGCTGTAAAAACTTCTTTAAAACTTTTACTTCCTTTAAAAACTTTATGGCTGTTTTCACCCAGTCCAGACGAAAGTGGTTTCTTCTTCTTCTTCTTCTTCTTCTATAGAGGAACTTATGTCAGGTCATTTTCACCTGGATGCTACATACTGCACTGTGCCACCTTACCTGTGGGCGGAGCCTGTGTGTGTTTATAGAGGTGGACAGTGCCAAAGGTTTAAGGGACTCACATGCACTAACATGCACACCTGCATGCATTAACATGCACGCGCTGCCAGACCTGCAAACAAAACAAAACCAGAGAGGCTACAACAAACACAGCAGGGGTGTGACTGTGTCTCTGCCCAGGACATCATCACTCCACTATTAGTAAATTAACAATACCACACTAAAATACTAGAGCGTAAAGAAGTATGTAATATTACAAACTAATTTTTGTATTAAGTATTAAAAGTGAAAGGAGTGCCTAAGAATGAGTTCGAAGTTAACCCACTGCATTCAGTGCTGTACAAATGATTTGTGTACTAAAAGTAAAGTCAGGATGCTTCCAAAAATAATGCCATGAATAGTTTTTGTTTACCAATTTTTTAACAAGTCACTAATTGGTGTTACCACTTTGCAAGGTACAGCCAGGTTGTTCCAAGCATCTTGGAGAAGTCTTGAAGAACCACAGTTCCTCTGTGGATTTAAGCTGTCTCTGGGTCCTCTGTCTCTTCAGGCAGAACTGGAACTCCTCTCACCTCTTCTTCTCTCTTCTTCTCTCTGCTTCTCTCTCTGTCCATGCATTTATATCACACTTCTGCCTGTCATAAACTTTGTGTCTTCTCTCTCCTGCTTCTCTTCTGTCTCTGTCTCTTTCTCTCTCTCTCTCTCTTTCTCTCTCTCTCTCTCTCTCTCTCTCTCTCTCTCTCTCTCGCTGTCTCATTCTGCAGGTATCTCTGACTCTGGAGCTGCAGGATCTGCCACTACTACTCATCATCATCACTTTCATCCTCATCATCATCATCATAGAAACACTGTGAGTCCAGTTCTATCAGAGGTTTCTTCCTGGGAAGGAAAAGTTTTCCTCTCCACTGTCGTCAAGTGTTTGCTCAAAGTGGGAACAGTTGGTTTCGCTCTATAATATTGTCAGGTCCTGACCTTACTCTGTAAAGTGCCTTGAGATAATACATGTTATGATTTGGCGCCATATAAACAAAATTGAATTGAAAGAAAACGATCTGTCTGTATTCGACAGGGTTGCTCTGTTATCTCTCATAGATCAGTGGTTGAGACTTCTCTTCAGTTGTGTGTGTGTTTGAAGAACAGATTTTATGGGTGAATGAACTGAACTGAATCGCTCCCTGAATGATCCATTTTCAGTCAGTTCAGTCTCACAACTCGCAGGGATTCACTCACTGACTGAGTGATTTGCAGGGGGAATGGGGTGTGTTCAATACAGCAAGCACAGCTGATCGTGAATGCTAACATTTAGCATTTTGGTCTTGGACTGCAGTCCATCTCCCTCCCTCTCTAATGTTGAAGGAAGTAGTACCAAATATTTCACTTAATGATTAGGTGCATGCTGTACATAATAGAGCTGGACTTTGTTCTGGTTTACCACTGAATGTTTCAACAAATCTTCTGAGTGAACTGATTCTGATGATTCAGTACAGTGGGAAGAACTGCTCTGCCCATCACAGCTCAGTATCCTCTCATGTCCAGCAGGTGGAAGAAAAGAGTTGTTTTCATTCATGGTATAAATGGAAAGAAAATGTCAGATACTTACTCCTACAGTGTCACTCTCTGCTTTCTGCAAACTGCCTGCTTCATTAGTATTAGACAGACAATATGAACCTCATGGTGGAACTGCTAATTATTTTTTCCACAGTGAATCTCACTGGAAACTTTATAACACTGGAATAATGTTTGTTTTTTATTACTAAAGTGAACACCCACATTTTTTAATTAGAAAAATCCACTTTGATGTCTGATTTTTTCATTGCTTGATATTTGCTACTGTGTCGTTTCTTTCCGTTGTGAGATGTGCTGAGACTCTTTCTGATGATAATACTCCTCAAACCAAATATTTAAATCACACATTGACTTTAAGATAAGATTAAAATGAATCTTGAATATTCTCTGTCTTTTCTTACGGAGTGTTCAACTCTGAACCAGTGCATCCAGATCACTAAAATGTTAGTTGACTTATTTAGAGTAACAATAAACAGTCTCCCTCTTCCTGCCAACTTCACATTCTTAATGTTTAAGTTGTTCCTCGCTTAAGAGATTTATCTCTGTTACCCCCGTTGACCTGGTCAGTTTTATGAAGCGTAGCACGCTGCTATTTCTAGTTGAACAAATAGTCTGAGCCTGCTTGATTCTCAGGCCTTTTCCTCCCTACATACAATATTTTATGGCTCCCTGTTGAATTGAGGAAATCAACATTCCTCACCGATCTGCCTGTCTGTAATCTTTTTAGCTCTTAATAGTGCATTTAAAGCAGCAGTAAAAAACAAAGAAGTGTGCTTGTTCAATTTAATCAAGATGAAACTTGATATGAACGTGTGTTTGTGGCTACTGTTCATGTGACTTCAGTGCCAGATGTCCAGACTTGAACAGCCTGGAGGGAAGTTCTGACCGATAATGACTTTCTCCCACATCAGCACAAACCCCAGCACGGCTGAGTGACACAACCTCCAGGTTAACCGTGTTATTGTTTAATCTCTTTAGCCTGCATGATTATTCAAACCTGCTTTAATTGTTAACTCATTTTCATTTAGGGGCAAGCAGGGTGATTTTAGCTGCTGGGAAACATGGGCCACACCTTGTTTGATGGAAACCATTGACACATATTGTCACATGACCGCATATTTCCAAAGAGCCCTACATTTAGCTGTGATGGCTCAGGACATAAGAACACAAGGTGAAACCTTTGTTTCACAGAGTGGTCCCAAAGAAAACCACCCATAGCAAGCAAGGTGAATTTTCCCAAACTGGGACTTTAGTGCCGGGAAGACACATTGATGTTGTGGTTTTAAAAATGCTCAAGCACCATCAATAAAGTTCCCTTTGTCTCCACTGGATTTAGAAAGAGGCAGAAGTTTCTGTATCTCAAAACTGAAACCACAAACCTGAAGCCAGTGTCCACTTCTGTATGACAGGTTGATGTTTTAGTTGCACGTCATTTATGGGAGACAAAGCTGTTCAAACAGAAATGATCTGGCTGATGTAAATCTGTATGTGCAGAGAAGCAGGACATGCAGCTTTTTAAGGGTAAACTGACTTTCTTGAGTTCCTCAACACAATGATATTTGTGATGTAACTAACTAGAGACTCAGAGGCTGGTACGACTTCACACCATGAAGATCAGCAGCATAATGATGAGTATTAATAGAGACAATGCTTTTCAAAGTAAACAGTATAATATTATACAGGCTGTCAGAGTGGGACGGTGATGTCCATCTTTTCACCACTTTGGTCCAGACTGAAATATCTCAACAACTATTGGTTGGATCTCCATAAACTTTGTTTAAATTTTGGTGATCCTCTGACTTTTCATCTAGTGCCATCATCATGTCCGTATTATAATTTGTCTAATACTTGAATGAACAGTTTTTTTCAGTGATAATAATGAACTCATCTCCTCCTACATTCACTTACACTAACCATCTCTTCGCTGCACAGGACAGAAGCAAAGTATAGAGGCTACAAAAACATCACAATATGAGGACATGAGGCGAGGAAGCAACATTGGCTGATTATTAAATATCCCCATTTATTCATCTAATGAGACGCATGAGCCCCTTGCTATGGTGCGTGATCCAACATGAAAACACATGTGGAGATATGAGGGGAGATAAATCTGTGGGCTAAAACAACAGTGAAAGTGCTCGTGTGCAATCGGTGAGTGAATGCACTAGAGGGAGTGAGAAGTGCATATGCTGGGGGCATGTGTCTGTCCACACGTCTGTGAGATCAGAGACGGGAGGAACCGAGGGAGGAGAGACGGAGAAAGACCGTGAGAGAGAGAGAGAGAGAGAGAGAGAGAGAGAGAGAGAGGAATAAGTTGAGACATAAGCAGGCTCAAGGAACCAGAGGAAGACATTCATGATCTAGGAAGAAGGTTGGGAACTGATGATCATTTAAGACAAACCATGTGAGGTGAGTCAACACACCTTGAATATTAGAATTTTTTTTTACATTTTCATGTGGAGAAATAAGACTGAGCGATAAGAGAGCACACGCTTCATTACAGTTTAAACTTCCCCGTCACAAAGATGAAGATTCCTGCAGGAAGTTCAGACCCAGACATGTATAATAATGTATGTGTTTCCTAGTGATTCATTTATGTTTCATTTTCTCTGGTTACACATTCACAGGCTGTAACTAAGCATGTAGATGGGTGGTGCAGCCTTGACCGAGCAGCAGCATGTTGCTCTGTCACAAGCCAAGCCATTGTTAGGACGTTATTGTATCTTTGAGCTGTGACTGTTCTGCAGGTCAGTCTCTTATCAGGAGGTTTTAGCCCTGGTCGGGGTGCCAGGGTTGAATGTGGGAAATGGTCAGTGATGTTGGAGGGTCACTGTGTCACTCAGTTGAAAGCACTCTGATAGTGTCAGGGAAGCAGAGCAGCATGCCGCGCTGCCCGCAGGCCTTTGTTTGCCTGTGTGCTTTGAGAGTACAGTTGTATGTGTATTAAAATAATAATAATTGTGTATTACCACATTCCAATACAATTTTGTCTTTCCTTTTTTATTTGTGGCTGAAAAAAGTGCAGGAAGCTCCGTGCACGAGGACGATGGCACACAAACCCTAAAACTGATGTCACAAAGACTTTATCATCCTTCTCTCCAGGCTTCACTTTTCACATGTTGTCCTGTGATTGATCTATACTGTTTACCCATCGTCTGTGGTTCTGGGCCGGATGTTTTTCCACACTGTTATCTCACACTGTTGACTCATCTCACCAGCTAAACTTAATTTGGCCCTTGATGCGGGGGATTTTCAGGGTCATGTTCTCTGACCGTTGTCGGCTGATGCACTTGTACAATATTGACGGCAGCTAAACAGACACATGGTGCCATACTATTAGATTAGATGATGTATTATGTGGAACGGATGCACATCCGATGACACTGATCTATAACTTCCAATTGGTAATTAACACACCCATCTTTAAAGTGGCTCGTTAGACCTGTGGAAATGAGCAAGATAAGCCTTTTGATGTGAAACATGTTATCATGCACAGTCATGCAGTAGCTGTGCTGCTGCTGTGTATGTACAGCAGACACAATTACAATATAGCAGCCTTTCACATCACATGGATCATATGACAGGCTGTTTTAATCGACGCTTTCATGAACATCACTCAAAAAAATGAGAATATGAATCTTCCGACACCTTTCTCTTCATGAAGAAAATGAGAGCTGATTTTTTCCCCCCACTTCTTTTAAAGTGTCTGGAAAACAAGTAAATGAATTATGCAATGAAGTGTAAAATGATCTCAGGCTCTCATCATGGTGCTGTAGTGTTGTGTTTCACCTGTTACCTCAGTCTTGTGGTGCACATCAGTGACAGGGCAAAATGAAAGTGGAGACTTTGGATCATTTGCTTTCATTTGAATTTTGTATGAAATAATTTCTGAGTCTTTATGGCCGCTGATGCCCGACTGTTGTAGCACCAAATGAGGGCAGCAGGCTGACTGGGGACACAGCTCGATCTAAACAAAGTCACCATGGAAACAAGAGGTGGTTATCCCTGAGGGAGAATCTATTGACATAATTAAAAACATTAAAACCTCGAAAACCTCTGAATGGCCAGGTGAAGCTGAAACAATGGTTAGTTTGATCAGTTAACTAATAGCTTTAGGAAACACAAGCTCATAATCTTAAGTCAGATGACGAGCTATTATCAACTATTATACACATTGATTAAATTATTATACAAATGTATTAATATTATTAATTACTGCCTGCCTTTTTTGCGTTTTGTGTGAAGCAACATGACAGTCAGTTACACAAATCACAGACACAAATCTCACAGTCAGTTACTCTTCACAGAAGCAGGGATGTCGGCCTGACACATATAAGATGTCTCTCTGCTTGTCCTGATCTGACCTTTCACCTTTAACTTTATTTGACTTGCACTAATGCCTTTCAGCATTGACTTGTGTGTATTGAACTCTGAAAGTAACTTTTATGGATGCATTAACATTTTATTAGTCCAATGATGTTTGCGTAGGAAATTATCTGTGAAGTATTCCTGCTGTGCTGCGACAATAAAAACAAAGCTGTGGCTCTTTTTAAATTCTACTTCATTACAGAAAGGATTATGTATATTAGATTATTTATAACTGTATTTCCACCGTTGTTATCATTGTCACTGTAAACAGTTTGTGTTATTATATTTGTCGTCACAGCATGGATGATATTATATTGGGAAAAACCCTGAACAGAGTCACAGTGATTGTCAGAAAACAAAAGACAGGTGGTTCCTGTAGGAACCTGCTCATCTCTGCTTCCTTGTGCTCTTCCTGCTTTTCTGCGTGTCGTAAATATTTGAACATTGCTTGTGTGTCACTGTGTTTTTATGTTTGCAAAGAGAGGTTAGCTACAGTCTGATCGGAGCCAGATGGGCATGCAGTAGCTGTATAAGAGATTACAAAAACAAATTCTTCACCAGGAGAATAAACAGTGTCACATCTTCCCTATGATAATATTTGTCTCAGCTTAGTGTCACACTGTAAATCCCCCTCTTCCACAAACAGGTCAGAGGGGTCAGAGTTCAAGGTCAAGCGTGTATGGATTTAGTATCATGTTACGATTTGACTTAAATTTGATATTTTATTCAGATTTTACAGTTTGAAGGTGTTAACACATAAATTCCATAATTAGTTTCTACAACAAAATCAATTAAACGAAATAATTGGCACTTGCTTTCATGTGATTTAAAGCCATAGGTTGTTATGCTCAGGATATATAATAACAACAGATGATATTTGCATTTGCCGATTGATCTATCAGTGTCAGTATCAGTCTGCTGCTGTAAAGCTCATCTCTGCTTCAGAACCTTAATTAGAGAATTTACCATCTGTTTTTTATGGGAGTACATGAGGTGGTTTCCCGTAATAAAGACGCAGATAGCAAATTAAAAGCAACACTAACAAACATACAGCATATATACACTGTCAAACTTCAGTCTCACACAGTTACAGCGGGACATGTTTCTACAGTGGCCGCACACGTTGAGGCTGATAAAACACCACAAACACGTCAGAGCTGCGTCTGGTATTATGAGCCTAATTCAAATTTTCGAAATGAATTTAAAGAGTGATGAAGCTGAAAGTGTGCAGGTGATGCAGGTGCAACTCATGGAACATGAATCATACATTTTAGATTGACATCATTGAATTATATCAGCACTTACTGTGAATTGGTTTATCTTGTTTATTATTACATTTCCGTTCATCAATGTGGAGGCAGGACAGCTGGGGCTGTGAAAGAAAAAAGTTTGTTGATCCAGGTTGATCATATTGAAATTATTGATATATATTTAATGACATCAATCAAATCAAATCAAGTTCCAATGATGAGTGAAACTATATTTTCTGTCTTGTTTCTAAAAGGAGCCAAATGTCGTTTTTAAAGGAGGTACGTGGTTGTTTTAGACTCGTGAGTTTTGTTGAATCATCCTGAACTTGAGAAGCTCGGCTTCGTTGACTTTCCTCCTCAGACTGCGACCGAATGTTTTATGACTGTTTTGAAGATCTTGTCTTGTATTAGTGTGACAGTGATGCACAACCAAGTGCAGCCCACGCTTTTACCGAAATGGTTTCTGTCTGCAGTGAATCTTCTCGTCTCCACGGGGACTAGCTCTCCAGCTTCAACATATGTTTATACAAAGACACCCTGTCCTGACCTCGCTCTGTGTTGTAGATCATCCAGGTCCATTACTAGTTCCACAGACATGTAGCTCTGACCAGTTATTAGCAAAAATCCTTCAAGAAAGTCGATTTATGTGATGTACAACCTGAATGATGTCAATAGTGAAAATAAATGAACTACTAGCCACATGAAAAACAGGAATATTCTCCTTTACCTTGAGATGGATTATAATGGACAACAGTGTAGAGGGATTATACATTTATACTACATGGGAATGACGACAGCTGCTGTGGTGGAAGAACATCACTGTTGGATTGAGGAAGAAGAGGAAGGAGGATTGTTATATTTAACTTGTGGGCGTAAACTTTATGGAGCTGAGATCAGGTCAGATGGTGTGTTCATACGAGAGTGGAACATGATGTGTGCTGTGTGATTGGAGTATAAATACTACACTATACTCTCGAGTTGATCTCTTTTATTGTGTCTCTCATCTTACCGCTACAAGTTTAACTGTGTGTATTCACCTGTGTCTGTGACTGAGGAGTTATTTCTTGTTATGTACCGTAGGCTATTGTTTACTGGACTGTAAATTTTAGATGACACAACATAGGGAGACAATAACTTCAGAATCAGGATTTGTATATAGTATACTGTATATATATATATATGTATATATATTTATATATTTCCTTGTAACAAAAAATGTCCTCAAGCCTAACACACAGTTCCTCTGTAAGTCATATTCTCTGTGACCATCTCAGGTAATTCGACCTTTAACAGGCAGCTGCATTTAAACTGTTTCATTAAATGGCAGAAGGATAAACATGTTGTACTTTTAAGTGTGGTTTATATCCTGAAATGTGAATTTTTTTAAATAATGTCAGTAGTTCTTCTTCTTCCCCAGGGGCGGAGCAGAGGCCGATGGCAGTGACACAATAAGAAAAGAGATGGCTGGGAAATGCTTTCCACTCAGTCATGTATTTGTGAACCTGATTGCCTTCACACGCAGGAGCTGTGCAAGGATTTGTCTGATGGGAAAGTGAACTGACTGCAGCTGAGGAAGTTTGGAGACAAGTGGATGAACCGGTGTCGACAGTTTCCACTGAGATACAAACAGCAGCACTGCTTCAGTGAACCCAGCGCCTGAAGAGGAGGCCGACATGATCTCCACAGCTCTCCGCTGGCTGGTCCTGGTGTCTTTTATCATTCTGACCATTGGTGGGAACGTGCTGGTGTGTCTGGCTGTGGGGCTCAGCCGTCGACTGTGGCGCATCGCTAATTGCTTTGTGGTGTCGCTGGCAGTGACAGATCTCCTGCTCGGTCTGCTGGTGCTGCCCTTGTCTGCCACCGTGGAGCTGCGCAGCGGGAAATGGCCCCTCGGAGGAGCCCTGTGTAACATCTACATCTCGCTGGATGTCATGCTGTGTACATCCTCCATCCTGACCCTGCTGGCAATCAGCGTGGACCGATACCTGGCCATTTCAGCTCCCCTCAGCTACTCCCGGAGAGTTACCCCTCTGAGGGTGACACTGGCCATGATCACCATCTGGGCCTTGTCACTGGCTCTGTCCTTTGTACCCATCCACCTGGGCTGGAACACAGACGACTACAGCGTGCAGCACTTGGACTGGGGCATGGAGGATGAGGACAAAGAGGGACGCTACTGTCAGTTTGAATGGAATAACAACTATGTTCTTATTTATGCCTTTGGCTCATTCTACCTGCCTCTGCTGCTCATGTGTGGGATGTATCTTTGCATATTCAGAGTGGCACGAGAACAGGTCAGTGTTTATTATCATTTTGCATTTTATTTTAGTGGAAACAAACATTTGCAGGACATTAAAAATAGTCAAATTAGGAAGGCATAGTTACTTGTGAAGTATCGCTATTTTAAATCCTTTATCATCAGATCAGCGAGTGAGCTCATCTCGTTTTCTGTATCCTCTGGTTCTCAAACCTCTTCAGGTGCGGCGTATTCGTGCTGCCACGCCATCATTTGCACGAATAGCATCAACCGCAGCCATAGCCCGAGAGCACAAAGCCACGGTGACCCTGGCGGCCGTACTGGGGGCCTTCGTCGTCTGCTGGTTCCCGTACTTCACCTTCCTTACCTGCATGGGAATAAGGGAAAAGACGAACCCTCCTAACACACTTCACTCTGTGGTTCTGTGGCTGGGCTACTTTAATTCAGCTCTGAACCCCATCCTGTATCCAGCCTTCAACAGGGATTTCCGCAGGGCCTACGGAGAGCTGCTTCACTGTACGGGATCCTCTCGCAGAAAACTGCTGTTTACTCGTGTGTCTGTTCATAAAAGATGGACCTTCACTAACGGACAAAGGGCTTCGCAGCACTCAGAGAAGCAAATAGAGACTGTGAAGAAAGAAACTGAGGGAAAGAGCCTCAGTCTGCTCGAGAGAAATGGCGTCCCTGACGAGCCCAGGTGAAACGCTGTGGATGTGCTGGACTGCAGACTCGCAGCAAAGCGTTGCTCCACCACTCACACATTAGCTAACCATTCACAGTATCAGTTAGACGTTGAGTGTATAGTGCCAAAGATTACACATTTATGTGAAACTCCAGGCACATCAGGAACATTCAATACATTTTGTCAGTGTGTTGGTCCATGTGCTTAAAAACAATAGGTGCCCATTATATTTCTGATTGTTTTATACCACGGATGAAACTCACAGTTCTGAAGTGTCTGTTTATTACAAAGTGTAGAAAAGCAGACAACAATGAAAACCAAAGCAAAGAGAGCAGAGCAGAGCAGTGAATGGATGACTCAGTAAGTTTCCCAGCATGCTGCAGGGAGACGCCGGTGGTTAAAAGTTTGCAAATTGTTTATTTTCTCTCCCTCAGCTCCTCCAGTGAAAGTGAATCAGTGTCCAGCAATTTGAACTGATGTGTGCAATATTTCTATGTTTGACTCGACCCGAACGAGACGGCCGGAGCGGTTTCCTGGACGTCTCAACAGATTAACTACAACTAGAGAAAACATCTGTTTTAAAAAGTGGGTGTTTATTATTCACACACTCAACATTCAACATGGTGCAACCCTCCATGTGAAGCTGCTCCTGACGAGGTTCAGTATGTAAGACTTTATTATAACGTGCACGCTCTGCATCATATCAAGTGAATAAAGCCAAATCTCTGTCCATGACACCCTCACGACAACGTCATCATGTTGACGTGTTACCAGGATCATTGTCACGTATTCACATCAGCAGCTTCAAACTTCAACCTGCTGACACACAGTAAGGAGAAAAGACGAGAGTATGAATGTCTAGCAGTTCACTGGTAACACAAACATGATACCTGTGCACACACAGATACATACACACGAGACATATGCATTAAAATAAAATGTAGATAAACCAATTTAAAAAGGGTTAAATATAATTTAAAGCTACAGGAGTGAAAACGTGATCGGAGAGGTGAGAAAGATGTCAGGAACCTCAGCAGGTAAAATTAATGCTTTCAATTCATTTTGCAAATGAGTTTATAAATTCAGTCATTTCATGAAGCAGAATAATTAAATCTTTTATTTATTTAATAAGTGTATTTATTATAGTTTTTTGTCACATACTTGTACTTTTTAGTCATTAAATCTTTTGTATCCAGTTATAATTCAATAAAATATAATTAATCAATAAATGATTTGATACAGACATTTTATATGATAGTTAATTTTTTATTTAATTTCTGTTGACATTCAGCATCAATCAAATATTTCCATGAAATATATTTCAGATTTCAAACTGAAAAGAAGCATGAACGGGTGAGGAATGATATTTTCTCTATAACAAATTATTCATTTGTGAAAATAAAATCAGGCCAACAGGGTGTTACATGGTTAATCCATTTTCCCCAGTGTGCTGTAAGTTCTAATTTATGAAGCTGTTATCGTTTCCATTTTATAAATGTCCATCGTAATTTCCATCCACGCATTTAAAGTTGGGCTCTCCTGTGACTTCTCCATTACCTGCCAATCAGCAGTTTATTCATTAAATAATAAATTCATCTCTTTTCAACCAGTCTTCATGTATTTATCTCAAATATATAGTCTTCATTTCTGGGGGCATTTCACATTTACATTATCCCGCTCCAAAGGTCTCTGATGACAGGCATGGTCAGAAAATATGGTGGTGGTTTGCATTTTGATTTCCACAGTGTCTCCATCAGACAGGAAGGTTATTATCATAATGTAATAAAATACCTTATCAGCTTTTTCCAACCAAACTCCCTCCACTTCTGTGAGCTGGTACACCTCCACTGACGCCTCTGTATTGTTGTCCATCTTTCCTCAGATATAATCATCCCCCCGTCCCAGTTTGATTTAATGTATGAAGTTGGATGTGTTTTCAGATTTCACTTTGTATATGATGAAATTATTCTCCTACCAGTATCTGCGCGGTTACAAGACCCACTCTTAAAATAGCACTGAAGCAATGTCAGTGACAGGACCGGGCGAGCTGAGTGTGGTTCTAATTAAAGTTTCATGTGAACCTCGGTGCTGTTGATGGTCGATGAAGTAGGTTGAGTTGATGGCTTGTCTCAATAGAGGAGAGGATGCTGCTGAGGAGGAGACGTCATTATCACTGATACAGAGTCTGAACCTGGAGGCGATGGAGCCAGCAGCAGCACAGTGACATACTTCATCAGTAGATAACACGAGATGCAGCTGAGTCCTCTGAAAGGTGGAGGATGAATCTGTAATGCTGCTCCTGGCCACGTTCAGGTGGTGCACCTGCAGCCACGTGGAGGTGAAACACCCGCCTCTATAAAACTGATGGAGTCCAGCATCAGTCCTAACTGTTACTGTTCTTCACATCTTTTCTGTGTGTTTGCACGTGTAACGGTGATTTACAGAAGAGTGTTTTTCCAAAATAAAATGAGAGTTCACAATGTCATTGATTGGTTGCCAAAAAATAAAAATAAAAATAGTTTATTCTCTTTAAAGTTAGAAAGTTATCTACATGAATATTGTGTATCAAAATGTCAATTCTAATAATGCATATCATATATTATTACATATGTATAACTAATGCAAAAAGGGGGTTACTAAGTTTGTATAGATAATATGAACATCTGTGTCTCCATTCATTCAAACCTCATCAGTCCGAGTCTGTACATCTGTGAGTGTTTGATGATAAATAGTGAATCCCAGAAAAGAAGAGAACAAAAGGAACAATGCAACAAATAAAAGGATCTATCAGTTACAATGAGACAGGAAACATAGTACACATACAGACACATACAGATCCACAATGGTGCCATGGAGCATGCGTCATCACATGTTTTATAAGTGTGATAATCTGATATTGTGCTTGTCTCATTGTGTATTTAAGGCCGGAGGACCGGGCGACATTCTGTGATCTCAGACGCAGAGTCTCTCATCGTCACTGTGGTTATCTCGCTTTACTCTGACATCATTTCCTGTGTCACATTTCTTTAATAGAAGAATAAATAAAATCCCACCTGCTGTACAAAGACCAACGTTTTTAGGTCAGTGTCATGACTTGAATCATTATTGTGTCTGCGGTGTGAACAATCATTCATTTGTGTGAATGGAGCGCAGACATTCCAGTCAGTGTTTCCTGGGCTTCAGCACAGAGGACTTTCCTTTATGCATCACTGCGAAAGAGAATTCATGTTTCAACAGAGACGGAGGGTTGAAACCACGAGAGAACAAACAGGACAGACAGACGGATGGAGAGGTTTGATACCAGTATACACCTGTAATCAGTGTGAATACAATATGAGACTTTACACACCAGAAGGTCCAAACAGCAGCTCAATACTACAACATACTGTCTGCTGCGTATCTGCTAAGAACCAAGAACACAACAGTCCTGCCTCTCTTCATACTTCAATTAGTGTGTTTGTTAATCACTTAGAGAGAGACATTTATTCATGCCTTGATTAAACACTTGTCCAGCATTATTTAGTGAACAAACCTGTGTTAGCTGATTCATGAAAACATACTTAACTTTGTTTAATCGTCTTTATATTCTCTGGCTTTTTTTTCTATTTCATGAGAATTGCTAATATACATGGTTTTAGACTGAAACACGTTCCAGATGTTCACCACAGAAAACATCACTTCTGTTCAGGGTCTCGGGCACTGAGCTGTAAAACACTGTTAAGTACAACGGATTTTGACGTGATTGGTTCTGACAGCACTTAAACGCAGCACCAGCCTCAGAGTCTGTGTCTGGTTTCTGTTAGTGAGGTTTGTTCATGACACGTCTGACAGGGAGCTTCACCTTTTACAAGACCCCAAACAGTATGAATATTTCCTAATTTGGTTTAACAACAATGTTTTTTGGACATTGTAGTGCCCCCACCCCACACGAAGGGCAGATGATGGTGTCGCAGGTCTGCAGGCCGGCGTGTGAGCTTAAAAAGAGACATTTATTTACAAAAATCTGACATAATAGAGGAAAAATGAACAACAGGAAATTCAACAAAGCTAACTTCATCCAGTAAAAACAAAATCTAGAATAGTTTGGGCCAAATTTGAAGGGATTCCCTTGTTCTTGAGATATTGCATTGACAAGACCAAAATCATGTTTCACTGTGACCTTGACCTTTGACCTTTAGCCACTAAAATCAAATCAGTTCATCCTTGAGTCATGGTGAATGTTTGTGCCAAGTTTGAAGATGTTCCATCCAGGTGTTACTGAGATATCTGAGGTCTCCTGCAGCCTCTCTCTCCTCTATTCACCACTGAATGGCATTTCACCTTCTTCTTCTCACCTGACTGGAGCGTACCACCAGCTCAGGTAAGTCTGGGGATGAGCTAAACAAATCCCAGACCCCACACACCTGCTACACAGCGGATTTCTGTTACTGCTGACAATAACAATCTACGATGAGCACAAAGACATGATTGATCAGGGGACAAGGTTCAGACCACTGTCATCTCCTTCAACAGGTTTACCTTTATCTTCCCACATACTAGTAACTCTAGTACAGCCCAGCCCCTCTGTAGTGATACTGATGAAGAAAAAAAAAACTGCTTGATTTTGAATGAAACCTAGTTAAAGATATAAACAGAAACAGATTTACTCATATTCTTATTGGTTTTGATGACAGACTGCTCAGCCATGATCACTGGCCCACACCAACGTAGAAACTGGGAGTAAAGATGAGCCAGAGTTTGAAGTTTTATCATGAAAATGGGGGAAACAGCCAATGAGCATGGTTTACTTTCCCTCCTTCAGAGGGATGAGTAGGTGCACTGAAGTGTGTTGAACACAGGGGCAAAGAAATCACTGATAAAAAGCCAACTGCTGTTGATGAGTGAACAGCAACAGCGAGGCTGCCCTGACTGTGAGGAAGCCATTACAGTAATTCTGTCAACTGCTCTCTGTGGAGAGGACGTGGAGGTGAAACTCTGGGTCTCCAACAAGGCAAAACGGGCAATTACCCCAGGGCCACAGACCCGGAGGGCCCCCGGAGCATCGTGCAACACTCAACGCATAGATTTGAGTTGTTTCAACCAGGCTGAGAACACACATGCACGTTTTCACAAAGATATGGAGTCAGGCTGGGGGCGTCCCCGAGGGGCGAGCTCTTATCAAGCTGGACGATATTTGACCTGCTCTGGACAGAGCAGTGTGTTTCCAGCAGGTGGCAGTATACAACATGTTTTCACCCTGCACACGAGGTTCTTACTCCACAAGGCACACATGACCTCAAGACAAAGGAAATCTTCTTCACAACGATGGATTATTCAGATAAGATTACAGCACACAAGGAAAGGAAACATTTTATTTAATTAACATAATGTTTTATCACTCATGTTGCTCAGGTTGAAAACTAAGAACAGAGAACATCAGGTTCTTGCTTCCAGTCAGATACAGAGTTCAATTCATTATTTTACTTGTTCTCTACACGTCACTAAATATATTTCTGATATGTTCAACGTATATGATGTATATATAACAGGTCTGTAAGATCTGCAGGAGCTGGTCAGTTAGTGGAGCCCAGAGTTAAAACTAAACAGGATGAGATGTCTTTCAGCCACTGTGCTGCCCCCTGCTGGAACCAGCTGGAACCAACTGGAACCAACTGGACCCAGCTTCTAATGGCGATCAAATCAAATCTGCCTGAACCATAACTGACTTTAAGAAGAAGCTAAAAACTTAATCTTTTAATCTTTCTCTTTAATGAGATATCATCTAATTTATAATCTGTGTTTTTATACTGTTTTCTTATTGTGCTTTTTACTTCTATTTTTGTACATTGAATGCACATTAAATGACCTCAGTGTATCATGATAACTTGCTATTGAAATACACCTGCCTTGCCTCATGTGGTGGTGGTAGTGTGTCCTCAAAGGGTTGGACCTGGAGTTTAAGAAGTCTCTATGATTCATTAGAAACGTGTCGCGTCAAAAAGTCTTTGAAATGTAGCTGCTGAATCAGCTTTGAGTTCTGGGAGCAGAAACTACTGATACATTACTGATAAAAGAAAATAAGGAGGTGACTTCATTCATCTATTTATTCATTATTTATTTATTCATTCATGTATAAACTTGTTTTTGCAAAAACAGAAAGTCAGAAATGATGATGAACTGATGTAGTTCAGTCAGTCAGTCAGTTTAGAGGAACATCTTGGATTCATGTGTATTTATTCATTTATCTATCTACTGAATTATTGCCAAAGGAATGTGATAAAGTGTTCACATCACCTCCTACATTATGCAGCTGAGTAGGAGGTGACGTGGGCGCTGAGGTGCGAAGCTTTAAAAAAAGATTCCTCTCCTGGTTCCTCTGCAGTCGTTGGAGCCTGCATTGTGAAGCCGTGGATATACAGCCACTGTATTTGACTGGAGTGCTGGCTGGTGTTTGTTAAGTCACACGTCCTAATTGCACCCAGTGGACCTGCACAGGGCCGCAGCTGCCATGGATAATTAAACAAATTTCTTCTGCAGACTGAACAGGGAGTGAGCTTTGTGGAGGTTTGCCAGTTGCTCAGCCTAAAGACGAAAAACACTGTCCAGTCCAGTTTGTACTTTAAATACCAGCGACAGTCTGAGCCTCATCTCTGATCTGCAGACTTCTGGTCTCGAGCACAAAAGACTGTGATGCTCTACATTTATTTATTCAACTCTGCTGCAACAAAGTCTTGCAAAAGTAGCACTCGTCTTCTTTGTGTGGGTTCAGTTTGTCAGTTTGTCTTTTCTTTACTGTAGGTGTATAAACGCCAGCTTAAAAAAACTTGCAAAACTTTACTGACATGTTGCATCACTGGTTGATTTAGAGAAAGGCAGAACTGCACTCCGTCAGTCCAGCACTGTGGAGCAGAAACATCTCAACAGATACTGGGTGGATCACAGAATCAGCTCTGACTTTCACTCTATTAACTAACTGTAACTACTGGACCTGTTGGCACGAACTTTGATGATCCCTTAACATTTCATCTCATGCCATCGGCCTGTGTTTAAATTGTGTAAATGAGGTATTTCTAATGAGATATGGGATTTTATTCCATTTTATTATTAGGTACAACTTCACTGAGCTGCTCATTCGGCTGCAGAAGTGTTCAGTTATTTCAAACCTGTAATATTCAGCATGAACAAAAAGAAGCTGTCAACCAAACAGCTGTATGCTGCAGATAAACACTTCTACTTCACTTAGTATCCACTGGCCGTTCCACAAATTCACGTGTCTCAATCCTCTTCCTAAGGATAAAACCAGTTACTTACATTATGTTTGTGCTCTTATGTGACTGTATTTATTGTACATGCTGACATGTTGAGACCTGACCTGCTTTCACCAGCAGGTTGGATCTGTTTCCATGTTAAATCTATCTTTGTCTCCTGTATTGAAGAAAGATTACGAGAAGCTCCACATGTTCCTGTGTGATTGTGCGTGTGGGTGTGAGTTAGTGTGTGGGTCTGGTGATACAGCTGGCTGTGTTACAGTTGGCTCTGCCTCACACTGCCAGACATCTTAGCTCCATGGCCTCCCAGCGTTCTCGCCACTTCTCGTCGTTTCACGTGCAGATGACTTTTTAAACTCCCATCTGGAGAGACAGGTTCGTCTGAGCGTGCTCAGTGCGGAGGCTTCACATCTGAACGTGGGAGCTAACGCAGGGGTCAGCTGTGAACAGTCAACCCTCAACACATGGAACATCTGAGGCTTCACTCACAGGGATATACAAGTGATTGAATGAATGAATGAATGAATGAATGAATGAACACTGGGTCTCACTCAGTAAGTTAATATTGTTCAAAATGTGCAGCTTACTTTTCAATAAGTCTTAAACAACTCCTTGTTGGTTCTTCTACTCAAGGAATCAGCTTCACTATGGCAACAACACTCTCCACAAAAAGGTGCCAAAGTGTTTTTTTTTTTGTGAGTTTGTTTATTAATATCTTCATATCACCATGGACACCGCAATTCTTCATAATAACTCATTTTATGTCTTCCTCTTCACCTTCTCTGGCTGATGTAACCACCAGTGTGGCAACTGCCAACATCATTTCTTAAGATTTGTTTAATTCTATGAGAATTTATTTTTTTGTCATGGAGGCAGCCGTCACTGTTGAGCAGCGGTATACATTAAGAGACGTGTTTTTAGAAATGTAAATCGTGTCTGTGGGAGGGACAAAGGCCGCAGGATCATGATGTAATGTGCTTCATGACGGGTCGCGGTTGTGACGGTGCCACGGAGAGAAAACCTCAGAAGCGATGCAGAAATTAGATCAGTGAATTATCCAGGTTGTACTGAGCTGACACTGTCGTGCCTGCTAATGGTTTCTGGGGGGCAGACATGGTTACACTGAGCAGGTGGATGAATGAGCAGATTACTGTCTGGGCTCACAAGGTGCGTCATGTCTCTACCGAAATTTCCATTTTATGCAACTTCCACTTTACTACATCACAAACATATCATCATCTTATAAAATACAATGAATTATTAAAGATTAAACCAATGGTTCCCAACCTGTCAGGTCACAAGGTGCAGCTGGGACTCCTCGCAGCTTTTCAGATGTCTATAGCTTGTTAGTGTTTTAGTGTTGTGTTCATTTAAAGACCTGACTGTGACCAAAAGAGGTCGAATTATCCAATATTTCCCCAAAATACAAACATTAGAGAAAAAACAAAAAAGGAAGACAGATAAATGTAACTTAGATTTCTTCCCCCTTTAATCATCTCAGATTTCTCCTGTGACCCTTTCAGAGGAGGTCGACTCATACATGAGAACCACTGTACTAAACTATCAAACTTAAAGCAACTGGCTCCATTATTGACAATTTAATACATTCATACTTTTTTGGATACTTTCAAGTTTAAGTGCATTTCACTTCTTGCTTCTTTACTTTTAGTAAGAATTTAAATGCAAGATTTTCATTTGTGAGCATTTTAGGATTGTTCTGTTTGTACTTTTACTCAAATAAAAGATTATGGAAAATGTAATAATAATAATAATAATAATACAGTGTCAGTGTCTTTTTAGTGTTTGGAAGAAAACCCTACATACTGCAGAACCTTGTTTTATCTCAGTTATTTCAGAGCCACAAATAAAAGCTCAGAAAAGATGATGAGTTATGACAATAATGTAAATGTGAGCTTATATGAAATATGTATAATAACTATATAAAAAACTGTTGTTGTGTTCCCTTATCACTGTTTATAATTGAATTGTAATTACCAATATCCTGCACACACTGTTCTTGACAGTGTGGCTGCCACTGTGCAGCTATTTTTACTCCTTGTGAGTAAAGTTCCTCCCCTGGGATCTCATCACGATTGAGCAAACAACCACCTCAAGTCACGAAAGCTATGGTCATCCTTTTTTTTTTTTTTCCTCACACGTGACCTTTAGGACAGAGATACTGGAGACCTCCTGAAAAGCTGTGATGACTGTGAGGAAATAAATAGAATGTATAAGCATTAAATATAGACAAGGCAGTGGATGAGAGGGAGAAAATAGACGAGAGGAAACACTGCGTCACGCTCTCCCCCAACATTTCCTCAGTTCAGTGGAGTGAGAAACAAAAAGCTCCAGCAAACTGCAGTTGGCCTTACATAAGCTGCTTCAGAGTCGGTTCGTCACAGAGTTGACCAAGTCCCTGGGTCATCGCTTGTATATGTGTGACGTTGACTCAGACCTTTTCAGGAATGATAGCTCCTCACTTCTGATGGGTTGCCTGGTCACCATAGTGACGGAAATGTGCAGAGCTCAAAGTGTGATTAATGTTATTACTGTAGACATAAGCTCTTCATGGGACAGCCTCAGGTCCACAATGTGTTTTTAGGTTTTTTTTACATCCATCTTTCTCTTTTTTTTTTTGCATTTTTTGGATTTTTTTCAATACATTTCTTTGTATAAATGTCCTCAGCTAAAGACACACATCAGTTAACATGATATTTACTGAGAAGATTTATAGACATTCTCTTATCCCAGCGCAGACAGACACTTGGTAATAACATTAAAACACTTCATAAATACGCCATAAACTGTATACTAATAAACATCCAGCACAAATTAGATGTATGTGAACACAAACACAGTTTTTCAAATAAACGACCATTTACACTTTCATATGTGACTGTGGCACTGACTACAGACTGGGAACTGCTGTTGTGATATGACGTCTTGCACAAAGACATATAGAGCATCTGTGCTCATGTGATCCACTGATGTTTTCATTTTAAATTCACAGTGAAATGCTGCTGGTGCTGTGAATATAAGTTCAAGTCAGTTAATGCATGTAATGCATTTGTTATCACAGTATAGGGAGAACACGCTGTAATTGTTGATACAAACTTTAGATGTATTTGCCACAATGCTCTGAGCTCCAGCCATGAACCATAAACCACCAACATTACACCCCTGTTTCTTCTTGCACCAGTCTATTAACTGGATCATGCACCGTGGGTCTGTGCTGGCTCTAAAAGACAAAGCTTCAGACTGAGAGTGAGCAAGCACCAATGTAAGGCGGGGGGGGCACAGAGGAAGAGGGAGGGCACAGCGGTGGCTGCTGGCTTTCTCTGCAGTACGGATCTGCTGAGGAAGCCAGAGCAGAGCTCCAGCACAGAGCACAGCCGCAGGGCTCCCACTGCAGCTCACAGGGAAACGTCTCACAGAAACAAATACTGGAGGAAGAACCTGACGCCTCACGAGAAAGAGGACGAGACGAAGAGCAGGAGCAGGAGACACGAGAGGAGGGGAGAAGAACTGGACGAGCTTTACTGCTTTTTCTTGGACAAACAGAACTTCCAGTGCGCTCGGCTCTTCACGTCCTGGAGTCTGTCATATCACTGATCCTCTGACTCAGTCTGGGGGGCGCAACTTTGCTTTTTAAAAGTTTAACATAAAAGACTGGATTTTTGTTTTCGAACATTTCTAACTATCTGGCTCCTTCAGCAGTGATACCTGTCTCACAGTGTGTGTGTGTGTGTGTGTGTGTGTGTGTGTGTGTGCGTGCGTGCGTGCGTGCATGTGTGAGTGAGTGTGAGTGAAATGAACCTGAGTCAGTTCACAGGTACTCAGGTGCAGCTGTGTTATTATTTATCTCAGTTCTCACTTTTTTCTCAATCTATGACTCGTATCACAAGAACGGCTGCAGCAGCGTCTTCTTCGCATTAAGGATCACACTACGACAATATCTCCTGAAGGAACGTTGTGGAGACTCTTGCAAGTTCAAACCTTTTTTTTTTTTAAATATCCTGGAAGAAGCAGTTTTTCCCCGGTGAAGCTTCAGCCCCCCGGCCCCTGCCTCTACCTCAGGATGGCTGGCTGTACCAGCCGCTGCAGGCAGGGGGTGCTCAAACTCATCCAGTCCCTGCAGAGATTGGTGTCAGGAACCCTCACCAAAGGTACTGTGGCTTTTCACCCCAACACAGATGAACTTACATGTTTCACTCACATTATTTACAGTTCACGACTTTTCACATGTGAACAGAACACTTGATCAGATACAGACATCTGTGCTCATGTGATCCACTGATGCTTTCATACAACAGACTGTAAGAAACACACGACATTACTGTGTCGAAAACTTCTGTCAATCTACCTTTACTTTTACTTTCCGACTCAAAACTCTATCAGCAGATTGAGTTTTTCTTTTCGCTCGACACTGTTGAGTCCTGATGTTTTTTGTGCAGCAGGTGCAGCCGTGTGGCCAAGGTCAAGGTTCAATTTCCCACAACAGCAAAGATGATGAACACAGCTCCTTGTCATGTTCATCCACAGCCGTGTCTCTGTGACAGCCCCTGAGCTGATGAGGTGATGTGTGAATTGCGGCCATGAAGGGATGAACATGGTCAGCAACACTCTGATAGATGTTCAGACCTTGGTTGGTTGGTATGAGGGTGAAACCCTTTCCCACATTATTATACCAGCAGTCTGCACTGTTGATATGGTGCTGGTGATTTTGCATCAGTGCTTCAAGAATATTTGCCATGTCGCTAAAATGTTCAGAGGTTTATCGGCTTCAAAATTTCCTACAATCCTTACAGCTTCCCCATAAACGTATTATGTTCAGTGTCATGTGCAAACAAACTCACATCCATCACATCACACAGGCATCACGGTTCAAACATCACGGTTTGATTTCAAAGTTGGTGAGGACAACGACAAAGTGAAGGAGGTAGGTCGGCTGAATCACAGGGTGTTGTGTGGTGAATTCTGTCATCAGTCGACACTGATTCTTAGTAAACTGTTAAAAAGGATGGAGGTTTGCTGCATAAGGAGCTGGTTTATGCAGCAAGTGCTTCTTTAAACCGCGTGTGGTCACCTTTAAGAGCGAAATGATGAGGTCATCTTTGCGTCATCCACACACACTCCTTGGACAACATTTGTTGAGAGACACTCTGGCTCTCTCTGTCTGTCTCTGTCTCTCTCTCTCTCTGTCTGACTCTGTCTCTCTCTCTGTCTGTCTCTCTCTCTCTCTGTCTCTCTCTCTCTGTCTCTCTCTCTGTCTCTCTCTCTCTGTCTCTCTGTCTCTCTCTGTCTCTCTCTCTCTCTCTTTCTTTCTCTATCTCTCTCTCTCTGTCTCTCTCTCCTCACCACCTCCTTCATCCTAAAAGTTACTTTTCACTTCAGCAGCAAAATAACAAATGCTGAGTCAGAGTGCAGCTGCAGGTCCGTCACGACAGCGCTGATATAAAAGTAAAATTAAACTCAGTCACTCACAAGTACGGCACATAAAACATTTGTGCAGGCGCTGCTTTTATTCTCACTGCGAGCCATGAACTGCAGGTCTGTGCATTTTTCCTCTCGACCATTTGTCTCCTCCACTTGTTTATTTTCCATCCAGAAACATTTGTCTTACTGTAAAACTATAAATAATGTGTGAGCATATCCACTGCCGGGAACTGATTTCCTCCAGAGCAGGAGAGTTATAGTCACATCAGGCAGCAACGTCACAAATACAAAGTGTTTCTGTGTTTGACATATTTTACAAAACATTCATTTTTAAAGGTGGCAAACTATTTGTAGGAACACAGTTTAATATCTGGTACCTTTTATTATATTTATATGTTTCATGTTCGATGATATTGTTCATGCATTTCCTACAGGTTCTGAAAAAATATGAAAATGAATGCAACTGACTGGAGCAACAACATCCCTGCTCCACTTCTGATTTGTTTTACTCTCATACTGATCAAGTGACTAATCTCTCACAGACAACGTATACTGTGTAACCCGTGATGTTATTTGTCCAGTAGCGCTGACGAATGTCCACTGTCTTAAAATCAGCCTAACTTCAACCACCACAGTAAATGAATGTGATTAAGCAGCTGTGCTCTAAACTGGTGACTTAGTCAGCGACTGTGCTATTCTGGAAATAATTCCACCTACTTGTGGCTACATGGGTTGACAATCTAGGTCATGCACTGCAGCCTCATATCTGTAATGTGTATAAACTGAGAGACTGTGCTCTATCCATCCTTTTATATAACAAACAGCTCCAACCCTACTTTCACAGTAAGGGGCTCATGTTCCAAATCAAAGTGAGGACTGGATTCACATCTTCAGAAGAACAAAGAGGAAAAGTGTTTCAGGCTGATCTCTGTCCCTCTGCCATTATTTGTAGATGCCAGTAATGTTGCCCCCTGAGTCCTCAAAGGATGAGCAGTAGATGAAATAGAGTGAATTGTGTTGAACGTCTGGTCTCTTGACACTGAGCCTCTGCACCGATTCGCTGATTCTCCACAAATGTTCCTTTGTGCTTTTCTAATTGCGGCTCATGAGTTTGACCTTTGACTGCATTAAGGTTAAGACGTTTGTATATGTGGCGCCACAGGGGCCGTATCTTCATGTAATCCCATAATTAAATGTCACTGAGTTAATTAAGTTTCTTCAGTCAAAATACTAAGTTATAAAGTATCTAAAATTGGGCCCATTGATTCCATCATTTCCACACACCGTGGGGGATTTTTTAAGTTTTAAAATTGCAGTTTTTGCTTGATGAGGAAAGAGAAAATGTGGAATTTAGCAGCGTGAATTATATAATACCAGCTCCCAGTGAGATATCTCAAGAGGAACATATCCAAGCTTTTATATACACGTCTGAAAGGAGTGGACACTGGCACACACTCTGAGACTCAAGACCTCCAAAAGAAATTTAAATTTACATCTCTCTGATAAGATTAACAAAGATATCTCTGTATTGTGTTATATTACAACATGGCACTCATGTCATTGTTATTGTGTCCATAAATGAACATCACTCCTATAGAATATAGAATAGTAGAGATCACTTCTCATTATCTCAACTATAAACTTCTAAAATGAAAAGTTGATACATAATATGAATAAAGGCCTGATCCATCACCTTTGCTGCACATGTATTTGAGGGGTGTTTGCATACATAATTGAAGAGTGTGAGTTGGTGGAAAATGTGCATTTGCATTTCGTGTTCATTCATTCAAATGTAATTCAAAATCTGGAGCTGCTGATTATGAATGTTTCTAAGCTTGATGCAAATAAACCTTGTTTAGACTTTCAGACTTAAATCTTTCCACTGATACTGACACTGAATACGAGTTTGCAAATTTGTGTTTTGAATTTTAGCAGCAAGGCTGGATCAAAAATGTTGGAGTATTGTCTGCACCATGAAAGACACTGGCGCATCTGAGACAGAGTCAAACAAGAGTGAATAGAGTTGATCTCACCTTGTAGGTTCACAGTGTGCGTGACAGTCTTTATTCTTTCATCACGGCTGTGGTCCTTTTTCTGCACAATTTACTCACACACACTCTGCAGACAGAGGACCAGCAGAGATCATATGCATGGAAGAAGACATGAAAATATGCATATTCAGCTTCACACACGCAAACATGTCAGGTAGACTGAATAACGCAAGTCCCCAAGTGTCCAGCAAACACGTATCTCCAGCAGTTTCCGCACATTTGGCTGCACACACTTCTATACACGGTGACATGAACCATAGAGCTCTTCTTGTTCACCTTTAAAATGCTTCACTTACAAACTCAGCAGTATTTATTCATTTTCAGACATTTAACACTGTGAGCAGCAGAGCTGAGGAGACGTGGGGGGGTGACGTGCCTCGGGCTCCCTGTAGTATCTATACTGAACTTTATACTTTAGTTTCACATTGTTGCTTTTGAAATAGTTTTGTTGTGTAACACTGCAAACAAGTGAAGCTTTATGAGAAACCTGATGAGGATGTTTTATCTACAACAAACTGCAGCATCAGGGAAATAATATTTCATTTCCTACAGGAACAATTTGATACGAACAACTGCTGCTTTTTCTTATTTTATATTTTTTCATATAGCAGCAATATAAAGGCAGTGTTCAACGTCCTTGGTTTCATTTGAGGATGTGGTGATAATGTGTCTGGAGGTGACTGGGAGACAGGAGGGCTGGACTGAGAGGAAAGTGGAGAGAGTCTCCTCTAATATATCAACATCCATACATCCCCAATCCCAAACCACAAACATGAACATGTGCATGCACGGACACGTTTAATGTCAACACTTTCACACTACCAGCAGTTTAAACATTTTGGGAAACTGAAGAGGTGAGTGTCTGAGTCTTTGCTCGTGCTGATGGACACGTTTTGTTTTACACCATCTTTCATGCAGACCAGGACCTGCTGGAAACAGCAGGAGTGAAGCAGGTGAGGACAGAAAGTCACTCCTCCGTCCTCACACTGCACCTGTCTCTCACCTGTGTCCTCTGAGTGCATAACCTTGCAGCAGGAGTCACGTCCTGCCACACTGCAGAGACGGATTCAGATCTATGGCTTGTGCACAGAGCTGTGGCAGAATTACCCAGCATTCCTCTGCATACGTGAACTTTGCTTCGTCAAAACTCTCCTTTCGTTTTGTCTCTTTTTTCTGCAGCTGTAAAAGAAGCTGACAGAATGTGTCTCCGCTTTTAATTTTTTACATCACCTCTCTACAAACTTTTATGTAACCGCCTTCTACATTTATTTTTATCTCTTGCCCCCCCTCTATCTCCCTCTCTCTCTCTCTCTCTCTCTCTCTCTCTCTCCAGCCTCTTTGCTTTACTGTCTGATATAGAATCCTAGTATTTGATGCAATGAGTGCGGATGGCTGCGTGGTGTGTAGTTGTGTAGAGTACAATAGGTTCTTCTCATACACGTTCATATGTTGTTGTACTTGTGCTGCTCTGGTGTCACAAGCTGCTGGTTTGATCAGGAGCGACTGTGCTCTGCTGCCACCTGTTGTTCAAAGAGCAACACCACACGCGCTGTGTTGGTTCTTCAGCTGTTCTGTCTCAACAGTTCCTCCAGTGTTTGCTCAGTTTGTTCGTTCAGTTACTTTCTTTCCCTCTTCTGTTCTAAACATCTGATCGTCAGAGTCACTGCTGTATTTTCCCT